AAGGGGATACCCCTGAGTCTGAGCTCTGCTGATAATTTTGGAATAGTCCAATATCTCAGGGATCTGGGGGTAGAAGGGGTAAGGGATTCCTCTGGAGACCCAGGCCTGACTACCGTGCTGGGTATTTCGTCCAACGGCAGATCAATGATGGGGATGGATTCTTGTGACATTCTGAAAAAGGAATAATGATTTGAATAAGTAGGGTGTTGTGGAGGGGGGAATGAGACCTTCGGAGAACTGGCCTGCTAACTAGTGACGAGGTGAAGAATTTAACTAGAATCAAGTGATAGCTGAGGCCCTGCTAGTGCCAAATGGCGGTGAGAGGCTCTACCTATGATTTTGGCTGAGGGAATTCGTGGCCACTTGAACGTGGTGGCAAGATGTTGGCCTCTCGGTGACCGTAAGAGATTCAAAATGTGTGGCTGTGACTTGGGGAGTCTTAGATGAAGAAGGGCGAGCAAGGTGACTAACTATGATTTGGCCGTGGGGCTGAACCTCTGTGTTGAGGTGGGGAGTAGACCTCGTGGGACTGGTGTATTTACTTAGGGTAGCTAAGGCAAACGCCTAACCCTAAAAGGTAGTTTTCTAACCTGATGGAACTTGTCTACTTGAATGATGTACTTGAACGTATGTAGATACTAACCTTCAGTATTAGTCCTATTGCTTTGGACGAGGCACAGAAAGTCTTCAATATATATACTTGCTTCTGGAGGGAACAGGTCCAGGGAAGGTATAGGGGTAAGATAGATGCTAGTGGGCCCTAGGCGTGCAACTGGTATGCCTGGTGTAAAAATGTTGAATGTATGGATAGGTGTGTATCAATGATACTGTAACGTAAGAACCAGTGTAACGTAAGATGAGGGACCTGAACGTTGGTCCCTAATTAGAGACAAGCCCCTGGGTTTCCACAATTGTGAATTTAAATGATAAGAAGGTGGAGTGAGGCCTTTAGGAGAAAGGTAATCATAGTGAGTAAGATTAACAATACCTGGTACTGAAATACGGGATACCAGGTAGGCTGTTGGTGGTTGATGGCGTAGAACTTGGCAAAACTGCGAGATTGACACAGGTCTAAGTAATGAAATGTAGAAACGAAAGACAAGCATTGTACCATTAAAATTAGTTGTAGCAAGGTGGTGTTGGTTTAGGAGGTGATTGTCATCGAAATTGTAGTGCAGGGTCTTTGTCGTGGCCCGTTTAGAACCCACCTTGGGGGGTCGGGGAAAGGGGGTGGAAGCTGAATGAGGCTGTGGAGGCTGAATGAGGCCTCAGGAGGAGACAAATACAACTGGTTAACCTTTCTTACTGGAAACTATAATACAGGATACTGGGATGACACTTCCTGGAGAATGCTTGAAGGATATGTAGTTGAGCCTAAAATCATACGTATGCTAAGTATATGGAACAGTATAAGTATAAGGTTTAGGAAAACAGTGATTTAGCAATCGTGCTTATGGTCTGTATTGAACCTGGTGAAAAAGGAACCATCAGAGCTTAATCTATGGCATGCTAAAGCAAAGATAAAGATGTAGTTGTTAACAGAGCGACCTTAGTTACGCAGAAAAACGTAGTTACACAAAAAAAAAAGTTTTGTGATTATGGAAAGGAAAGAAACTTCAGACGGGAGTAAATAATGGTGCCGAGTGGTATATTTAGTATGAAATTTACCTATTAAGTGATTATTATCTGACCGTGCCTTTAAGAAGATTCCCCAGTGTGAAAGAATGACGTGTCCCATAAAATGATATGAACATAGCAGAGGTAAAATGAAGAAACCGATTTAATATTTTTAACCAGTAATAAAACTAATGAGCCATATACTGAACACATAATTGAATAGAGGAGGCTGAAAATGTGAACGGTGGAGGGTTCTTTTGTTTGAATGAATGGCATAACAATTCTCTTAGTAACAGATAGGTGAATTTAAAAATTAAAGCCTACTGCGTTTGGCTAGAAATGAACGAATGGAGAGGACTGGTAAGCAGAGAGAAATACCTGCGGTCGGTTAATGGACCGCACGAAAGCCATGTACATTGCGGTCAGCTGTTTAACCCCTTAATGACCAAACTTCTGGAATAAAAGGGAATCGTGACATGTCACACATGTACAAAATTATAGACGAACATAGGTATGTTGTGCGGTCGTCAGTTTAACCATACAAAAGAAGAAACGAAAGTGAGTGTACTCTGCGTTCAGCTGTTTAGCTGCATGAATCTCAGAAGTACACGAACGAATGAATATGCACGAACAGGTAAGTATTATGAAGGGGCCTATCCCCGAGTGTTTAGGCCCGAATGTGGGAAATAGCCAAACGCTATTTCCCACGTTATGCTTACGTGGACGTGCCGGTCTTGTGACCGCAAGCCAGGTAGCGATGCCGGTGAGAAGCTGGTTGGCAGGCACGGATGTTGGAGGCAGGAAAGCTGCTGGCGACAAACTGCTGCTGGAGGCTAGAAATTTGGCTGGAACTATGGACCAGAAGTGCTGGGACAAACAGCTTGAACAGCAAAGGTGAGTAGGGGGGTAGGAGTTTAAATAGGGGCCGTAACTCCTCCCACAGATTCAGGCCAAATTGCCTTTTAACAGAAAGAGAGAGAAAGAGAGAGAGAGAGGAGAAGAGAGTCAATAAATTGTTAAACACACATCTGCACTCCAAGTCATAAGATTTGGTTTTCCCACAGAAATCTCACATTTCCAGTAATGTTACTACTGCAAGGAATTCTGGGTGGGCATATGCAAACTAGTTCAACAAAGAATCACTTTTTTGTCTCATGACTCAATTTTAAACATGGATTCCTTGGAGTTTGTGTTTGCTGTATACAACAGCTTTGAAACACAACTCTTGAACAATGCAAAGCCAGTA